TGCTGGATGCTTTATGTGTGAGTTAGCCTTTTTACCCTCAAATCTGATTATGTCACTCCTCTCATGACACCCTTCAGTGGTGTCCCACTGCCGTTGGGATAAAATCCAAAGTCATTTCCATTGCTTCATCTAGCCCTGCCTGCTGCTTTGACTTCATCTCAGGCTACCCTCCTCACTCACTCAATCACCCCTCCCCACTCGTCTGGCTCCAGTCACACTCTGTACCCTCCAGCCTTGGGGCCTGGAATGTGGTCTCACTCTCTGCCCCCTCAGTACTTATGTTTACTATTATTAATAATAGGTTCAGCGTTACTTCTTCATACACATAGAGTTTCAAGCATGAGTTTTCCAAAGGAGAGGTACATGGTGCCTGAGGGTGTTTAGCAGGCCTTGGATCTAATCTGGGAGCTCAAAGAAGGCTCCCCTGAGGAAGTGGCTTTTCAAAAGGATTCTAGGATGGGACAGGGACAGGAACCTTTCTGGCAGAAAAAAGAGCACGTTTAATTGTTAAAAAGATGTGGTATCTATATTTCATGGTCTTGCACAGAGAGTCTCATGACATTCAGGTGCTACATCATGTGAACGGGGAAATAGTGTGTGTGGTCAGCACTACGAGATCAGCTTGCATAAGGAACATGTATGTGTGGGACTGGTTGAGAGGAGTACTATCAAGCGAAAGCATCAGAGAGTGTGTAATGAGGCGTTAACTGTAGGGACCGAGATCGTGATAAGGCTGGGAAGGTTCCTTGAGTAGATATGCTGAATCCGCTGATTGATAATAGTAAAATAATGTCGTAGAAGGGGCAGGAGTGAACCACATGTCCAGGCCAGGCTGGAGGTACCAGGGGTGTGACTGGAGCAGACGAGTGGGGAGGTGATTGGAGTGAGTGAGGATGGGTAGCTGAGATGACAGTCAAAGCGCAGCAGGGCAGGGCTAGATGAAGCAATGGGAAATGATTGGTTGTATCCATACGGCCAGTGACACGCATGAGGGCTGTTGCAGTGAGAGGTGGCGACATAATCGGATTTGGAGTTTCAAAGGCGAAGTCTCGGAAGCTGGCTGCACACAGCATGGCTGTAGGGAGCAGTGGCAAGAGAGCCAATTCGTGGGCAATCCAGCGGCGCGTCCAGCGGACGCGAGCGATGGATGCCTGGACTAGATGAGCTGAGAAGGAAAGAGGGGGAGCAGATGGACTCAGACTTCTCGAGGAGGGATAAACACAGAAGGCCAGGGGCCACCCCGCGGGATAGACTGATGCAGGCGAGGGTTTGACGGAAATCCAGGTATAGAATTCACTTGAATGGAGGGGGAAACCAGAGAGCAAGGGGGGAGAAGGCGGTCAGAGTAACATTTAGTGTACTCCTGTTTACAGTATGGCCTTTTCTGTGATACAGTGGAGTCATGGCAACTTTTCAAAGGGAATTGGCTTGGAAGTGTTCTTCTCTGTATGGGGGATCTCCCCCCACGGCTGGACACTGGTCATCTGGAATATCCTCAGTCCTTACCCAATCCAGCCCTGCAGTCTTGGTTCTGCACGAAGGGGGTGGAACCCTTCCCGCCTCACATGCTGGTGAGAAACGAAAGTGCTCGTAACAGCATCGACTTCCGTTCCCTGACTCTCGGCAATCCTATCATAGGAGTTACGAGGCATAGTCAAGAGGAAGAGAGGAGTAGGATCAGATAGAGCAGATATACACAAGTTCGACCACAGGCTGACAGAGATCCCTCTTTCACCCACTTGATCAGCTTTGCCATTCTTTCAATACGTCCCTGTTGGCACCGCATGCGCCTGGTCAACCGGTTTTCTTCTGACCGTGTTCGGATGATGTAGGGCTGAGAGGTAGGGTACTCTGCGGGCCAAGAGTCCATGAATATAGATACAGCATCGTTTTGACCCAATTAGAACGTGTCTTTTTTGCCAGAAAGTTCCTGTCTGTGTGATTGTCGTTTGTGTTGAAAGGAGCCAGTCCCGTAGGGGAGCGCTTCTTTGAGCCCCTAGAGTTTGGTAGTCGAAGGGCTGCTAGGAACACGCCGCCTCAGGCCACGATGTGCCTGTCACTTGTGGAAAACTGATGTTGAACTAGTGCTGTGAATGGATTTGCTGAGGGGATATTGCGGTTCGCCCCATGAGTGGGGACTGTTTGTAAAGCCCCCGCCAACGGCAGAGGTTTGTGAAGAGGTTTGGGTATAATCAGCATTTCGTCTTTACCGGTAGCGATGATAAGTAGCCTCTAGTAGATATTTAATGAGGTTTGGGCGTGGTGGGCTCATGGCCTGGAATACGCCCAGTAGGTTTGGAGGGCGAGGAGGCCAGCATACTGAGGTCAGGAGTGTGCCAGAGACCGCAGCGCTAGCCCCATGGAGGAACCTCTCTTACTAAATACAAAAGTTAGGGTGCATGCGGTGTATTCCAGGCGTACTGGAGCTAGCAAGCGAGGTTGCGGGTGCAGGTGCACCCTGTCGCTCCGCCCCGGGCAAGCGCTGAATCTCGGCTAGGAAATGAAAAATAAAATGGATGT